AGGAATGGTGCAAGTACAAATACAGCGGCAACGTATAGGGCTAATACAAGTTAATAGATATGTCGTATGTAAATCCCGTTTGAGGTCCCTAAAAACCGGATTTACACACAACAGATATACTAATACTGTATTCCGATTAGATAATCCAATCTCTCTGAGCAAACAAATTCCTACATAATTAAGGTTTCGTATTTAGGAAAAACGCAAAGACTTTTCTTCAGTATAAATTACCAATGCTGATGCAAAAAAAAAGGCGACAAGTTGCTGAGCTTACATAATCTTATCCCAACTTACTGCTGTTAACCCTATTCCTATGGCGTTTCAGAAGAAGCACTAATTACTGTGTTTAGATTCAAGAAGGTTGACTTTCCGTTCTTCTCTAAAAACACTTCCCCCTCTGATAGCTCAATCGCAACACAGCAATACTCGACTACTTCGTTGGATGTACAGACAGAAAATAGACGACACACTATCAGTAACGCAAGTCCATATATAATTTCACCTACACAATATTCGATAATGAGACATGCATGGTACAAGACAATGGCCACTAAACTCAACTGTACTTTGCCTCGACGATGGAAAGTCAAAGCAGACGAAACTTCATTGTTTAGTATCACAAAACGACAAAGCCCTAGCGAGGCTGGTAGTGAGCCAGCAGTTAATTTAGTAAACGATGAAGACAATGTCAGCATCGATGTAAATAAAATTGATATCATAGAACCAAACAGTCGAGATAATGCGTATTCCTTATCATCGACTTCCAGAGGAGACGGACCTAGCCATGAAGAGGAAATAACAACGGATATTATTCAGGACAACGGAAAACATAATTTCTATGCGTACTATGACAATAGAAGGGGCAAAGTATCAGCAGCACCCATTAATTCACCGGTAACATCTCTATTTGAACGATTTGCTAGTATGCCTCGACAATACAGCGAGAAACCAGAAGTTCTTGGTAAAGTTGGACGCTTTACTATTGTTAGGGAACGAGAAGATTTTGATAGCACTCTCTTCGGATGTCATTAAGTAATGACGTAATTCCTTGCGCAGCTCCGATGGTAGTACGAGGATAGTGGAACTAGTTCGCCGCAATTACACAAAAATGTAGATAATTATCCCCTTAATCTGTGAGCCAATTTTGACGAGGACTTTCCACCTGACTGTTAACAAAATTTTTTTATCGTATCCTGAGAATTTAAATGCGCCAAAAAGCTTTGCAAACAGTAACGTGTACAAAGAGTAATGCGTATTTGAAAAATATTTTAATGAAATTTTTAAAAATTCATCCTGTTGAGGCTATGATAGGGTTTCCCTATTAGACGATATTTGTTTTTATATTATTGCAAAACTAAAAAAACTCAATAGACTCACGATTTTTGGAGAGTAATGAACTTTTAAAGACGGGCACTCGATTGGATGTTATTTCCAGACATTATTTTTTTTTCACTATGTTATTATCGATTGTTTATTAAAATGAACATTTTATTTAGTCTTTGCAATTCCAATAAACAACAAGAAAAATGTAAATTAAAATGCTTACGCAATTTATTTTACGCCAAGTTAAGCGGTTTCTAAAGCGCAGTACTATTGTGATTATACACTGATCAGTTGATAAGTGTATAAGTTTGTTAGCGGGAGTAATAAAATAAACTCGCCCCAAAAATCCAGTGATGTTATTGGCCCTGAATTATTCGAAAACTTTGATTGGTTCGTTAAATATAAGGATTAATTCGCTTGTAGTTTGGAGAGCATTTATGGAACCAAAATTTTTAAAAATTTGCAACGTGTCAAGTGTAACATTTTTAAAGTCCCAACTCTGATCATGAAATTAAGACTGGAGTGACTGGAATTAAATCCTTATATGTAACAAACTAATGAAGAATTCAGGGCCAATCACATCACTGGATTTTGTGAAAATTAATAAATTACAATAAACATATTATTATCACGTAATTTACTAGTACAAACTCCCTAAATGCACGCTCTCAACTTTTCAGTCCCGAGGGTGTGCATTTAGGAGAGTTGACTGTATGTACAGTGCACGAAAAAAGTTTTTGGAATGACGTTTTTATTAATTGTGTAGCGAAAAATAGTCAGAGAAATATAAAACTTTACAGATACGTTCTTTATAATACAACAAAGTGTTTTACTTATTGCTATTTAATAGTTTATCTTATTACCATTTCCCTCAATTATTTCATTCAATCTCGTCGGCATGCTACGAACCAAATTA